GGGAGGGGGGGAGGAGGAGGGGCGGAGAACACGTTTGAACAATGCGAAGCGATATCGCAAAGAACGACTCTACTCGATACGCGCGTGCGATAGATTTCTCGCCCTTCTAATTGCACGGCTCACGGCAGATAAAATGCAAAACGACAGCAAAACCGAGCGCGTTAGAAAGGCTGGCATAAAAACGAAAAAAATTAAAGGGAAGAAAAGGAAACTCCGAGACAGAGAGCGAGAGAAGGGGAGGGGGGGAGGGGAGAAAAGAGAGAGACAGCGCAAAAATGTGAAACTTGTCTCGGTTGTAATCTGCGATCTTATCTCGCGGCAACGGCACGCTGCATCGCGCGCAGGCACGATCGGCGCACGAGAGCTAAACGAAGAAGCGCGCGCTTCTCTACGCGGGGAAAATTGTGGCTACGTGAAAACGTTCGCGCGCGAGCGCGAGTAGCGTTACATTACGGCACGATTGCGTGCAATCGTCGATGTAATCAACGGCAGCGGCGCGCTCGTACAGAACGGCTCGCCGCGTTCGGAGAAACGCGATCGACTGAGAGATCGATGCGCCGATCGATCGGCGGACGCCGTCGTCGTCGTCGTCGTCGTCGTCGTCGTCGTCGTCGTCGTCGTCGTCGCCGCGAAGCTGTGTCGACCTCGAGGTGGAGAACGCGAATATCGCGGTAACGGTGTCACGATAAGTCGGGCGCGATAACGGTTGCTATGATTAGACAGAATAAATGTTTAGCTCGCCGGTGAATTCTAAGTTTTAGACACTGGCGAATAAAAATCGAGCGTCCACAGTTTCGAGCCAGCTAATTCGCCGGCGAATTAAGAAACTTTCTCAAAGCGAATCACCCTTAACCCTTTCACTGTTAGTATACCCTCCCACCTTTTCTTGATTCAATTTTGCGTTGTGAATCACATAATTTTGAAGAACTAATCGGGGATTTGAGTTTCCCGCAGATAATTGAATAGTTGTTCAACATACTCCAATAGATTTTTGTACCCAATTATTCATTTGTGATTATTTATACCATCAAAGTTGAAGAAAAATGCTTACTTTAGGGAAAAATCGATTCCTCGGATTCGTATTCAGTATTGAATGTAGAGGTCTGAGATTTTCACCAAATATTTTTCTGATGTTGCACAAAAACATATATTTTTTTTAATATTTTTTTGCAGGTTAGATTTTTTTTTTATAAACAGATATTTCTACGAAAACGGCTGAAATTTGATTCTTTGCACCTTTTAGCTCTATTTTCCTAGTTTTTTCATTCTGTATCTCTATCTTATCCATACTATCAATATTATTTTACTCAAAAGTGAATGTTTAATCTCTAGTAAGCATAAATATGCAGTATTGAACATTTTCCCACATAAATTTTTTCCAGCTCGATCGAGTTCCTAGAATCATATGTTCTTATTACGACCTGATCATTATTTAATAATAATTGGAATTTTCATTAATTTTATACATCATGATCGCCGTATTGAGTCCGCCATTTTGAATTTTGCAAATCTGACTTTAGATTCGTAATCAGCGACCCAAAAAACGTAGGACTACCAAATATTTTAATAATTTTCTCAAGGGAAGTTAATTCAGCAGTGAAAGGGTTAAAGAATGGCAGCAAACGCGAGAAATTGACCGGCAGAATGCTGATGTTTCGCTGCAAAATTTGTACACCGTATCGGTTGCGCAGAAGCGCAAGTGCTTCTGCAAAATGTGAGTATGTGCAAAATTCCTTCAACATGCGACGAGAGAGAGAGAGAGAGAGAGAGAGAGAGAGAGAGGGGGGGAGGAGGGGGAAAGTGTGAAAGAAAGGAGCGGGTCCCACCCTACATAGCGCGACTGCCGGAGCGTCTTGCGGTTTGCCTAATGACCCGCAGAATTTGCAATCGCGGGTTGGATCCGCGGCCGCGCTCGTCGTCGTCTCGTTCGGCGACGATCGCGTCTAACATTTCGCGTGAGACTAGCGGCTCGCGTAAGACGGACATTCTTCGTTCGCGAGAGACGCAATATCGGCGCGGCCATCGTGCGCCTGGCATTTGCCCGACGCACTCTCAAGGAATTATTTCCAACGACTGATCGAACAATCGACGTGAGTGATTAGGTTGCGCGATACGACTCTTGCCTCTCGCGCCGCGAAGCTCCTTTCGTCATCGTCGCAGCGAGCTGGGACCGCTGGGGATGCGGGAGCGTCCGGTGTTTCTCGCACGCTTCAATCTTTTCGAGATGAGAAAGAACGACGAGTCTCCGCCGCACAAGAGTGTTCGCGACTAAGGTCGCCAAAGGTCGCGAGGGATACGCGTGAGCAAAAGTGCCACGCTCTCGGTCCAACGCGCACACTCGCTCGGAAAATCGAGCCAGTTACGTAACCCCATTACGAGAACTGTTCTCAAACAGCGGGCAACAATTGCGCAATCGCGTTAAATCACGAAATGAGAGAAAGGTGCGCGCACGATATAGCGCCCGGCAGAAATCTTCCCGTACGAAACGGCAGAAGCGCGCGAAAGACGATCCAGCGCGGTCCAGAGGAAGGAATGTCTTGTCGACGGACTTCAAGTTTTCCTAGAAGGTTCCTTAGAACAAATTGTCAAGTTTATTGAGTACTGTCTATGCAACGTAACCGAAGTATACCCTTTACCATAAAAAAAAAAAATTTTCGACAATTCTTGTCTGGTGTGAAAAATCGATATTCGAGGTCACTTCAGGGGGGAATTCAGGGGGAACATGCGGAGCAGGCCGTTTCAAGGCCGGTTTCAAGGCCGTATTTTTACGAGTTTTTTTAACAGAAATGGTAAGGATCAACGGACTTGAAATTTTCACGGTATATTCATTAATGTTCAAAGTATAAAATAAATTTGTTACTATCTATATGGAATACACATAAAACTTTAAACGCGTTTATCTGGAAACACCAGTTTTCTTAAACTGTTGACACGATCACGCGAAAACTACTGAACCGAATAATTTGAAATTTTTACACAATATACAGCAGACATGTAGTTTTCGCCCCTATCTCGAACAGAGTTATATTCTATTTTATTCATCTTTTTGAACATGATTATATGTTGAGAAAAGTTTCACTTTCGATA